GAGAGAGAGGGAGACACAGAATATGAAGCAGGCTCTGAGCTGTTAGCATAGAGCCCAATGCAGGGCTTGAACCCATGAACTGCGAGATCATGACCTGAGCCAAAGTCAGATGCTTAACCAACTGAGTTACTCAGGCACCCCATTAAATTCTCTTATTTTAAATGGGGAGGTCTTTGTTGATGATTTTCTGAAGTCTTTTTGGTAGTGGTTCATTTAAAGATAAAAACCGTGGCTATTTTAAGTGACCACTGCATTAAGTAATAATGCCATTGTTTACTCTTAATAGGTTTTATTGTGTGTCTTTAAGACCCATTGAAAAATTTTAATCTATATCCTCTTTTGGTTGGAATGAAGAATGTTTTTGAAATAGATGGCTTGGGCTAAGATTTATCCAAAGGACAAACGAGTGCCGATTCATAGGGGCACTTGTATCCCAATGTTTATAGCAGCATTTTCAACAATAGCCGAATTATGGAAAGAGCCTAAATGTCCATCAACTGATGAATGGATAAAGAAGATGAGGTTTATATATACAATGGAATACTACTTGGCAATGAGAAAGAATGAAATCCTGCCATTTGCAACAACACGGATGGGAATGGAGGGTATTATGCTAAGTGAAATAAGTCAGAGAAAGACAGATACCATATGTTTTCACTCATATGTGGAACTCAAGAAACTTAACAGAAGACCATGGGGGAACCGAAGGGGGAGAATAATTTCAAACAGAGAGTGAGGTAAACTGTAAGAGACTCTTAAATACAGAGAACAAACTGAGGGTGGAAGAGGGAGTGGTACAGGGAAGAGGGAAAAATGGGTGATGGACATTGAGAAGGGCACTTGTGGGGATGAGCACTGGGTGTTGTATGTAAGCAATGCATCATGAGAATCTATCCCCAAAACCAAGAGCACACTGTATATGCTGTATGTTAGCTAACTTGACAATAAATTATATTAAAAAATTAAAAATTAAAAAATAAAAATGTTTTACTAGAAAAAAAATTAAAAATAAAGCCAAGGGGCACTTGGGTAACAAAAAAACGGTGTGTGTGTGTGTGTGTGTGTTGAGAGAGTGTGAGCAGGGGAAGGACAGAGAGAGGGAGAGAACTCCAAGCAGGCTCTGCATTTTCAGTGCAAAGCCTGATGTGGAGCTCGATCCCATGAACTGTGAGATCTGAAATCAAGAGTCAGATGCCCAATGGCGTGAGCCACCCAGACACCCCTGTTGGCTTTTTTAAATGCGTGTCTCATTTAGGAGTGATTTTTTTTTTTTTTTTTTACGTATTATTATTATTAGTCATTTAGATTTATCAACTGTGACTTGAAGAATAAGAGATAATGGAATTTCTTTTTAGCGCCTATATTCTAAGTCTAAAGCAGACCATAAATTTTTATTTAAGGTGTGGTTATAACTATTAGAAATAAAGGACCAAACCAATTCAAACTTATTCTCATCCTTAGAAGGGAAAGGTGGAAAAAAAAGCCAAAAGTGTGGTAGAGCTCTTTTTTTAAATTTTTTTTATTTTTTTATTTTTTTTAACGTTTTATTTATTTTTGAGACAGAGAGAGACAGAGCATGAACAGGGGAGGGGCAGAGAGAGAGGGAGACACAGAATCGGAAGCAGGCTCCAGGCCCTGAGTCATCAGCCCAGAGCCCGACGCGGGGCTCAAACTCACGGACCGCGAGATCGTGACCCGAGCTGAAGTCGGACGCTTAACCGACTGAGCCACCCAGGCGCCCCAAGCTCTTTTAATGCATAATATATTTCTTTTTTATTTGCCTTTTCTCTATTTCTCAAATTTAACTTTGTCAAAAGTACTTTTCTCATAGGAAAATATTAAAGCCAAAAAAAAAAAAAAGAAAAGAAAATAGAAAAGTGCAATCCAATGTGAAAAATATTGAGATAAAAGCTATCAGAACAATTTGGTAGTATCTCATAGATTTTGAATTGTGTGTATTCTTTGACCTAGGAATTCCATGTTTCCTGATAGAAATGTTAATGTTTTTTACTCAAGTATGTTCACTATACTATTATTTATAATGGTGAAAATTATAAAAGAATCCAAATATTTATCAGAGGGAATTATTTAAATTATGTTACCATCCATGCAGAATAGCATTATAAGTTAGAATGAGGTAGATTTATATGTATCAGCATAGAAATATATCTAAGAGACATTTTTTGAGTTAAAAAAGTAGAATGCCAGCTTGTGAAGCAATGATCCATTTTTGTTTAAAAAGATATTGGGAGGCAGATATTGCTACAGATTGCCTTTATTACTAAATGCTTATTGGTGTATTCATGGTTAAAAAGATGCACCAGAATGTCACTGATGCTGATTTCTTTGGGAGGAGGATGGTGGTGCCATGGGAAACTAACTCTTTCTGTTTTAATTCTTTTAATGGGATTTTATTATTTTTGTATTTTAAAAAAGCATTTTTAAAAATCCCACCATAATGAAAGAACAGTCATGAATCTTTGGCCCAAATATCACCTAAAGTATATAGAAATATATAGTTTAAGGGAAAGTGGGCAAAATTACATTGAGTTACTGTCTATGAGAGACTAAAATGATAAAAATATTAGAGATATGGGGAATACAATAAGAATGAATTTTTATCCTTAAGAATTCATATTTTTTGAGACTGCATATCCTTGTTAAATCTGGATTTTTTTAACAATTCACATGAAAAAGAACAACAAAATTCTGTATTCTCTAATCACAGCGCAGTAAAACTGGAAATTAGACATATTAAAGCAAACTAGAAATTGTTTGTGGTTGTCTCTGTTGGTTCTCTTTTTTTCTCTCCCCAGAGATAACTTTATACCATTAATGTTGGCATTTAGGTATTTCTGTTTTATTTAGAGCTAAATAAACATTAGCAAAGTTATAATGTTTATGTTTTCTATAATACTTTTTGATATAGGCAGAAGATACACTTCAGAAAGGCCAAGAAAAGGATAAAGAGGATCCCGACTCAAAACCAGACATTAAGGGCGAGGATAATGCCATTGAGATGTCAGAAGACTTTGATGGGAAAATGCATGATGGGGAACTTGAAAAAGGTTTGAGATTGTCACTTCATTCTTGTTTTTAAAAAATACTTTAGGAAATTACATTTTCCCAATAAGGAGCCTATTATCTTTTTTAGCAAGTTTATTACTCTGCATAACTGCAGATGAAAACATCAGCTATATGCATGTTTCATCACTGTCTCCATGGAGGCAGAAGTCTATAGTCCATTCTGGAGATTCTTCTGAGCAAACTGAGACATTGACTGGTATTTTGGCTGCCTCATGCACTATGTGCAGTGACTTCCCCTTCAGGGAACCTTGAAGGAACAAGGAGAGATGTCCCTAACAGAGCTTGGCTTAAAAGTAAATTGTTCAGGGGAGCCTGGGTGGCTCAGTTGGTTGAGCCAACTTCGGCTCAGGTCATGATCTCGCAGTTTGTGAGTTCGAGCCCCACATCAGGCTCTGTGCTGACAGCTCAGAGCCTGGATCCTGCTTCAGATTCTGTGTCTCCTTCTCTCTGCCCCTCCGATGCTCACGCTGTGTCTCTCAAAAATAAATAAAGATTAAAAAATTAAAAAAAAAAAAAATGCCTCCTTAAAAAAAAACTTACATTAAAAAAAAGTAAATTGTTCAGGGTAGTTTCTTAAAAAATCTTTTTAAAAATTATAAAAATAGTAGACATTTGTGACAGATGATTTGGAACAAAAGTTCAGGAGTAAAATATCTATATCTACATTTGTAAAATAGATATCTATACACACATCATAAATAGTTCTATAGTCAGCTTTTTTCATTTAACATATAAACATTGCCCTGTCATTACAATTTGCTTGAGAATATGATTTCTTATAGCACATTGTCATCTGTTGTGTTTATACCATAATTCAGTTCTTACCCCTAAATTTCTCTCCAGAGCTTAATTTGAGATAATTGTGTCTTCTTCTAAGTGAAGATCTTGCAGAAATGAAAATTGACCTTAGAGTAGAAAAGCATATGCTTGCCTAAGCAGCATAAGAATATAACCTTTGTCACAGTAGACTGAGCAAAAACAATTGCGAAAAATTATGATTGAGTTAGATGTGTGATTTTAAAAGATGGTCAAAATAGAAGTGTAGAGTATGTTGGAGATGGGGAGGAACCTTGGACATCATTTCACAGACAAGAAACCAAAGCCCAGTAAAGTTGCTGAGTCTCATAATGATGAATATCCTCCCCACCCCCCAGCACTAGAAGTAGACATCCTGACAGCTGTTCCATCACCCTTCTGTTTATTAATATCACACATTACAGACTTCTTTTTTCCTTCAAATAGTTTGCAAAACACAGTAGGACTGCTTCAGGAGATCTAAAGGCATCTGTGTGTACAGTGTTCTGTAAATGCAAGCAGTAAATCTCAGGTGGGGCACTTGCCAGGTGGTGGGTCCATGCCTCTTCTGCACATGGCCCAGTCAGTTCGGGGATTTGCCTAACCTCAGTGCCTTCCCTTACAGAAGAGGATGATGGGAAATCAGACAGTGAGGGTGGAGACCTGGATAAACAGATGGGCGATCTGAATGGTGAGGAAGCTGACAAACTTGATGAGAGGCTTTGGGGTGATGACGATGATGAGGAAGATGAGGAAGAAGAAGACAGTAAAACTGAAGAAACAGGACCAGGAATGGATGAGGTAATTAAAAGATTCTCCCCACCCTGTAGTCCCCAGCTTGAGAGGAGACTTTCTTCCAACCAGCTACCACTCCCTGTCATTTACTGCTCTTCCTTTTCTGCCTTTTTTTCTTTCTTCCATCCTTCTTTTTTTTCTTCTTTTTTTTTCTGTCTTACTTAGTTGAACTCAGAGCTAAAAGAATGGTCTGACCTGGGCCATTCCGTGTGTAATGGAGGAGGAAAATTAAGGAGACCGTACAAATGCTCTGATTCTGCTGTTGGCCACTGAACCTCCCCAGCTCTCTGCTTAGGAGAAATCAGGGCTGGGTGTGACACTGCAGCAGCATAGTGTGACCCACCCCACTGTTCACACACCTGCTAATACTGCTACCATCTGGATGAAGCCAGAATGTTCTTTCCAGGTCATGGAGGACACCCTGTCAGCTGGATATTTCCAGAGGATAGGCTCAACAGACAGAGATTGTACATGTCTAAGAGCTAGTTTAGATAGAATCAACTTACATGAAAGCGGTTTCTTAGATTGAGAGTAATGATTTTGTTTTTTCTGCCTCTGATATTTAGGAAGATTGTGGACTTGTTGCCAAAGACGACAACTTGGATGCTGGGAAGTCAAACAGAGATAAAAACCGAGATAAGGAAGAAAAGGAAGAAGCAGAAGTTGCTGATGATAGACAAGGCCAAGACAAAATTAATGAACAAATAGATGAGGTAATGAGGATTTGAAACCAGTCTGCTCCTGATTCAAGGTCAGGGCTCACAGCTCCTGGGAGTCTCAAGACATTTTTTTTTTTTTTTTCCTATTCATCATTTTCCCATTGCCTCATAAAAGAGCATGTTACAAAGTCTCTCAACAGGACATAAAATATCTAACTATTGGTTACTGATGAGATTGTCTTGATTCTGTTTGGGCTCATGCTGGAGTTTGGAAGCTAAGTTCTGTGATTCTTTTCTATACATCTTCTCATAAATTTCCGTTTCCTCTTGAAATTAAGTAACACAGTACCTCCTATCAGTGGAGAACCTGCACAGTAAGTGAGGTTTGAAAATCCAACATGAAAATTCTAGAAACATCAGTAAAATTCTAACATGTGGGAGAAATTTTAAGGAAGAGATCTTGTATTCTCTTAGCGTAAGTGCTTAGAGCTAATTATTTGCAAATGCTACTTTTTTAAAAAAAGTTAATTTTTTCCTGTTCTCTCCATTGTCAAAGAGGGAATATGATGAGAATGAGGTGGATCCTTACCATGGCAATCAGGAAGAGCTGCCGGAACCTGAGGCCTTGGACCTTCCAGATGACTTGAACCTGGATAGTGAAGACAAGAATGGTAGTGAGGACACAGACCAGGAAGAAGGAGGTGTGTCTTTCAAAACATAAAGAGACCAGTTCAACTCACTGAAAATGAGCAATAACCTATTTCTTCAGGCCATATTATGGCCAAGTCATAAATCGTGTCTGGTCAGCCCAATTCCAATTTGAGAAAATTGTTTGCTTTTTCTCTATAATCTTTCTCACCTGAGTAGACTTAAAGCTTAATCTGAGAAGAATTAAAGTAAACTACCTGGTGTTTGTTATTAATTTACCCTCCTGTCCTGTGTTCTAGTACTGTAGAATCCGGGTGGTGCTTCATTTCCCCACAGCTGTCTCCTGATGGCCCGCCTTATGGGGTGATGTGAACACTGCAGTCTGGGTATATCCAGGCCTCTTACGGAGCCTTGTTACAGCTTTCTTAGGGAAATGATTGTTTCAGTTAATGATAGCTGTGCTTATGTTGTGTGTTTAGTTTGGCATATGAAGTCATTTTAGTGGGGTATGAAATTGAATAATCAAATCATATGGCACTTGACAATAATCTGCCTGTCACCCATTGTTCAGTTTGAGTGACTTCCCTAGGGAGAGCTGTCTCATATTGGAAGCATTGTATAGTGCCCCGTAACAGAAGGTCCCCAATCATGGTGGGTTTCCAGACAAAAATATGAGCTAGCCTTACTATGCTTCATAATGAATCAGTTACCTATTTAGAAAACCCATTAAAAAACTTTTTAAACACCATATTGTTGGGGGGGGGGGCACCTGGGTGGCTCAGTTGGTTGAGCATCTGACTTCATTTCAGCTCAGGTCATGATCCCAGGGTTGTGGGATCAAGCCCCACTTGTGTTCCATGCTGAGTGTGGAGCCTGCTTAAGATTCTCTCTCTCCCTCTGCCCCTGTCCGTGTTCATCCATGCTCTCTCTCTCAAAAAAACAAAAACACAAAACAAAACAAAAAAACCCCACACCTTATTGGAACCAAATTAGCAAGTTACAAAAGAATAAGAGGTATCATTTATGTAAAAACTTAATACAATACTATATATTATTAATGGGTACATCAAATGTAGGAAAACATCAGAATAAAACACAACTTCAGGTTATGGTGACTTCAGGTTAGGAAGGGCAAACGCCTCCAGAATCCAGATAGTTGTACCCAGAATCATTTGTTTCTTAAAAACAAGTGGCAGAAGGGGCGCATGGGTGGCTCAGTTGGTTGGGTGTCTGACTTCGGCTCAGGTCATGATCTCTCAGTTTGTGAGTTTGAGTACCGCATCAGGCTCTGTGCTGTCAGTCTTGGAGCCTGGAGCCCACTTCAGTCTCTGTCTCTCTCTCTCTGCCCCTTCCCTGTTTATTCTCTGCTCTCTCTCTCTCTCTCTCTCCTCTCTCAAAACTAAGTAAACATTAAAGAAAAATTTTTTTTTAAGTGGCAGAAGTTTGGTACATATATGGCAAAATGTTCACATCTATTAAATCTAGTAGGTGAGTATATGGGTCTTTTTATTTTATTTGGTTTTGCTTATCTTATAATATTTATTTTTGAGAGAGAGACACAGAGATAGCATGAGTTGGGGGTGCGGCAGAGAGAGAGAGAGGGAGACACAGAATCCAAAACAGGCTCCAGGCTCTGAGCTGTCAGCAAAGAACCTGATGCGGGGCTGAAACCCACGAAACGTGAGATCATGACCTGAGCCGGAGTCAGACACCCAACCAACTGAGCCACCCAGGTGCCCTGGCTCTTAAGATTTTAAAATGCATTTTCCATGTTTAAAGTATTTAGTAATTAAAAAACAATAAATTAGTGAACTATTTAACCAGAATCATTTGGTTAAAGATTTGATAGAGGCTTTCCTCATGCTAAGAACAAAGTCTTCACTCTTTGAATCTCTAGCTTACTTTTTTTTTCTTCATTTTCATATAACTTTATTATAGAAGGAAAAGAAAATCTCCCAAAATCTATAAAGGCCAAACTTTTTACATTAAATTCTAGCTGACTTTTTAAGCACTAAATTGTTGCTTCAGAGGTCATTTCATTACCATATAATTTTGGAATCTGACTTCAACCTTAAATTCAACAAGTAAGCCAGCATGACATTAAGAAAATTAAAGAATTATTTGCTAACAAATTGACTGTGATTCTGAAGTGTCCAAAGTATAGGAATGTTCTCTTAATAAATAAAACCTTTCCAAATAAGATTGTTTCCATTGAATGTATGTTGTACTTTCTATTTATGATAAAGAAGGATGTCTACCAGTTATTCCCAAGGATAATGTCATTTCCTATTTTGGGTCTAAAATGTCCCTATTGTGGCAGCTCTCAGGATTTTTTAGTGGATTAATTACTTAGAGTTTGTTAATGGAATGCACCATCCAAACAACTGTATGTATGTAAAATATTAAGTATGGTTTAGAGCAGGTGTGGACTAAACTTTTTCTGTAGAGTCCGGTAATAAATATATCAGATTTTACAAGCCATAAACTGAGACAGAGGTTGCAAAAACTCTACTCTCCTGTTGTAGTAGTGTGAAAGCAGCCATAGACAATACTGAACGGGTGGAGTAAACACATAAGGAAATAGATATGGCTGTATTCCAGTAAAACTTTATTTACAGAAATATGTCGGCCAGATTTGGCTCTTAGGACATAGTTTGCCAGTTCCTGGCTTGAGACTAATAAACACTTGTGTTAACTCCATCCCATGTTAAATCATGTTAAATTTGGTGTTCTTTCTTTTTGTTGTTATGTATCCAGAAGATAATCCTTTGGAAATTAAAGAAAAGCCAATGGATACTGAAGAAGCAGGTCATGAAGCTGAGGAAATAAAGGAACAGACCGAGGCTGACCACAGTGAAGGTCAGGGTCAACCTGAACCTGAAGAAGGCCCCAGTGAAGATGATAAGGGTGAGGGAGAAGAAGAGATGGACACAGGAGCTGATGACCAAGATAAAGACACTGCTGAACATCCTGAAGAAAACTCAGACGATGAGCGTCAGTCTCTGGAGGACAAGGACAAGGAAGCCAATGAGGAAAGTGCAAACCATGACGTTCCTGTTGACCAAGGTCTCCAGCCCCAGGTATTGTAAGGTCTTTGGCTTGTCTCATGTTAAAAGTAATAGTGAGGAAGGGGCGCCCGGTTGGCTCAGTTGGTTAAGAGTCCAACTTCAGCTCAGGTCATGATCTCGCAGTTCATGAGTTCAAGCCCCACACTGAGCTCTGTGCTGGTGGTGCAGAGCCTGCTTGGGATTCTCTGTGTCTCTCTGTCCCTTCCCCACTTGCCCTCTTTCTCAAAATAAATAAATAAACTTAAAATAAAACAATAATAGTGTGGGGGAGAGTTTACCTTATTCCGATCAGAATCTTTTAGGATACTTCTCTATCACCAGGTGGCGCTGCTGAGCAGCTTTAAGTTTCTGTTTAAGACCCTTTCTGGCTATTACCCTTCCTGCAGTCTCCCCATGGTGAGCAGTGGGGCACCTGCCAGTTGTAGTGGTCCCCTACCTCATATTCTTCCCCCAGTGCATCTTAATGTGGTGTTTGCTTACCCTGCAGAAGCAGGAAGAAGAAGAAGAAGAAGAAGAAGAAGGGAGCGGGGAGAACTCTGACACAGAGGAGCAGGTGCCAGAGGCCACGGAAAGGGAAGAACACGATTCCTGCGGGCAGACCGGGGTGGAGAGTGTGCAGAGTGCACAGGCTGTGGAGCTGGCTGGGGCCGCGCCCGAAAAGGAGCAGGGAAAGGAGGTGATAGGCCCTTACTGCTTCTGCCAGCTGCCTCTATTGGGGGGGTGGGGTCTCTGTTCCCTGTGTGAAATTACGACCCATTTAGCTGTAGTTGGTTTATGTGTGATTCTGTTTTGTTGTTGACATCTAAAAGATCATCTCTCATTCTTTGGGAAATGATCAGATACCTGATTTTATATGCCTCTCAGAACAAACCCTAGAATATTTGCTACACTGTATTTAAGTATTGTGCTTAATGAGAAAAAGCTATTAAACTCATAGTTCTTTGTGGGAGAACAGGTTCATGTTAATTTTTAGAAAGCTCCCAAGGAAAGAAAGGTTGCATTTAGACTTCATATAGTAATATGCCTCAAATAGTGTTTCCTTTTTCCTTGCTGTTCACCAGGCTCTAAAAGTTGTAACTTAAAAAGCAAAAGCACTTCTTTATTTCTTGAGCCAGAGTGATATGCTGTGTATGGCCACAGTCCAGGTGACTGGCATGCTGTGGAAAGAGCACTGACAGAGGACCTGCTCTGGTGACTCTCAACAGCTCCTTAAGCCTCATTGAGCCCAGTTCTCTCACCAGTAATAACACCTGTTTATACTTCTTGTGCCCCCCTCCACCACGTTTATTGAGCACCCATTAGGTGATGCTAAGCGTTTTCATTACTTCAGGTCCTCACAGTAGTCCTGTAAGATAGCTGGTTAGTGTTCTTAAGACGTTCTCCATTTTATATTTGAGTTAAGCTGCAGTAAAGTGAAATGACAATCTCAAGGGTATACAGCTGGTTGATGGCAGCGTCTGGTTTCTAGTTGAGGTCTGTCCTGCCTTCAGAGTAAGCCATTACAATCCTGGAAACAAGGAACTAATCAGCCTTACATAGCGAAGTCACTCAAGAGGGTAACATATCTGGATATAGATGCTCCTGTTTTTGCCCACAGGCCAGGCCTTAGTCATGGCTCAGCTCTGGACCAGGGAGGCAGGTATATCATGTGACTCTGAGAGGACAATAACAGAGAAGCTATGGGAACTACAGCCCAGTAAGCAGGTGTTTGTATAGCATCTTCCACCCTCACTCTCTCATGGCTTGGATTTCACAGGAGCACGGGAGTGGAGCTGCAGATGCAAACCAGGCAGAAGGCCACCAGTCCAACTTCATTGCTCGACTGGCTTCCCAGAAACAGACCAGGAAGGACACACAGGTCTCTATCACTCTTCAGCTAAACTTAGGTGAAGGCTGCATCTGGAAAGGATGTGCTAAGTGTAGTGTTTTTTTAAAAAAAAAAAAAAAAAAAAAGCCACGTTCCCAGGCTTTGCCGTCTCACCAAACCTGATGATAGCCTCAGCAAGCAGATCAGGACCGTGGGGCTTTCCCATTGGAACCTGGGGCTTCTTCCCTATGTGGGTGCATGTACACACACACACACACACACACACACACACACACACTCCTCCTTATTCCTGTTATGCAGCCTAAGAGCCAGTTGTTAGGTGCTGTTGCCTAGGACTAGCCAGTCTTTTTTCCACCGTCATTACTCTTCTGTGTTTTAAAAATTAGGTTTTTTAAAACATGGTATAATTCATGTACATGATTTATGAAATTTATATATAAAAACAGTCCCCTAAAAAGCTTCCATCTTATTCCTGTTTTCAAATCACCCAAGAGTAAATTGGTGCTACCAGTTTTTTTTTAAAGATATTTTTGCATATGTAACATATTTCAGATACAAAGTATATCATAGACATTATCCTGAATTTGTGTATAGATACATGACCATTCTTCTTAACTGGCTCATTGAATTCCATTTTTGTATGGCTGTACGTAATTTAGTTAACCAGCCCCCTGTGGATAGACATTAGTTTTTTTGCCATTACAGACAAACCTCTAATGAATTTCCTCATATTTCCCACAGAGTTTCAAGAGGAAACCTGGACAGGCTGACAATGAACGCTCCATGGGTGATCACAATGAACGAGTGCATAAGCGGCTGAGGACTGTGGATATGGAGAGCCACACTGAGCAGGGGCCAGCCCAGCCCCATGCCCAGGTGGAGGACGCAGATGCATTTGAGCACATTAAACAAGGCAGTGACCCTTATGATGCACAGACGTATGGTATGGTTCAGGGAAGGCTTCTCCTTTGCTCACTGAGCTGAGAGTTTATGCTGTATTACTGTGTGCCCAGCAGATGAACAAATCCATCTTAGGGATGGGAAACGGCTTTTTAAAATGTTTTCTCTCTAGTTCGAATTATGTGGGAATACAGTTTGTTTTTTGGTATAAAGGTATCTGTAGACAAGTGCAGGTTTCGGGGTCTGGTGTAAGTCTTTTATATATCCTTGATAACAGCTGCCCGCATGCAAACCTAGTGCTTATCTCTGGGTTTCTGAGACGTGGACATTTCTTCATAGTCACAGTGAGGTCACTTCCTGCAATGGCAGGAGCTGTGAACTAGAAATGTGTTTTTCTTATAAATGAAAAGGAAAAAAAACTCCACATAAGAAGGGAGTGGTCAGTCATTACTCAGTCTCCTTTTTTAGTTCTCTTGGTGACTTCTTAATATTTCATTCCTAGTATATAAACTCATGTAGATAATATTTATCTTTGAGCACAGTTTCAGAAACGATTGCTCTATCATGAATTACCTTTTTTCTCTGTCTTCACTTTTTAGAAAAATAAAGCAGTAATAATAATTTGCTACCATGAATTGAGCTCTTACTTTGTACCAAACACTGTACTGAGCCTTTGCTGCATGATCATGGAATTTTTACAATAATCTTAAGATCTATGATATTTCCATTTTATAGATGAGCACACTGAGGCCAGACAAATTTAAGAACTTGTCCAAGATCACAGTGCTTGTCTTCAGTGTTGGTCTTTCTGTGTCCTGTGTTATACTCTTACTCATTACAGTATCTCCACTCATAACTTGGTAAAGGAGGATAATTCCATTAGCTGCTCTGAGTCATGTGTCCTCCCTGTTTATTCTGGTTCAGTCTCTTGTAATAGCAGTAAAAACCTAGCTAAGCATCCTACTTCTGTGGTAGAGAATAGGCAGTTATATCAATAGGTCAGTAGGGCATCACAGACAAGACAAGCACTGTGTTCATGCCATATAGTTGGTCAGCAGGAGAACAGCATTAGTAAGATCTCAGAAGTGGAAAGTGAGAAACCACACCCACACACGTTCTATGTGTTTGTATGCTTTATTGGCAGATGTGGCCAGCAAGGAGCAGCAACAGTCTGCAAAAGATTCCAGCAGGGGTCAGGAGGAGGAGATGGAGGACACTTTCATGGACACAGAGGAGGAAGAGCTCCAAGCAGCAGACGCAGAGCAGCTGAAGCCAGAGGAGATCAAGTCAGGGACCACAGTGAGCCCCGGTGGGTCCTATGGTGAACAAATCCCTCCTACGTTCGCTTACAGTAGTCACTTTCGTGTGGTACCATCTGATCTGGTGGTTCTATCTACATCCTGACCCATAGTGTAGGTGTTCATTTGCCTATGAAAATTCCACTCTATCTCACCTAGGAGTCAGAAGGTGGAGGAGTGACGTTGGAGACACTGTCCTGCAAGGAGACCTCAAAAGCCTGAGTTCTAGGCAAATGCCATCACTCTTCTTTAAATATGTAGAAGAAAAAAAATAGGACACTTACTGCAGTTATGATGGGAAGACACTTTTGATTATTAGACAGATGTTTTCAATTGTATGAAAATACTCAATTTTAGCATAAAATGCAGTAAAATATTTAGAGAAATAGAGTGGGGAAAATGCATGTGTAAAAGTAACCAAACTTCTTACATATAGTTCCATTTCATAGTTGACCAAGTGTTATTACTGGATAATTTATTTAAAAAATAAAAAAGACATGCATTTAACACATTAAAAAATAACTTTATCAGCAGTGGAATAAATACACATTCAAAACAACTTGCAAATTGGAACGCCTTTTTTCCCCTGCTTCCTGTCCTCTCTGAGGTTTTAGAAGCATTGACTGTGCCATTATATGACAGTGGGAATGGCATAGCTCTGATGAAAACTCAAAATCCAGACTTTGCCTCTTACTCACATTATAGGCTGTGGCATATTATCCATATTTTCTTTACCTCAGTTTCCTCATCTGTAAAATGGAACTAGGATTTATTTATTTAATTTAATTTTATTTATCTTTTTAACATTTATTTATCTTTGAGAGAGAAAGACAAGAGTGTGAGTGGGGGAGGAGCAGAGAGAGAGGGAGACACAGAATCTGAAGCAGGCTCCAGGCTCTGAGCTGGATGGGGGGCTCGAACTCCCTGACTGCGAGATCATGACAGAGACAGAGACAGAGAAACACAGAGCGTGAGTGGGGGAGGAGCAGAGAGAGAGGGAGACACAGAATCTGAAGCAGGCTCCAGGCTTTGAGCCCCGATGTGGGGCTCGAACTCACTGACTCGAGATCATGACCTGAGCTGAAGTGGGATGCTCAACTGACTGAGCCACCCAGGCACCCCTATTTATTTTTTTTAATTTGAGAGAGCACGTGCATGCAGGTTGGGGAGAGGGGCAGAGAGGGAGAGAGAGAATCCCAAGCAGGCTCAACGCTCGATGCAGAGCCCAGCGGGAGGCTGGATCGCATAAACCATGAGATCACAACCTAAGCCGAAATCAAGAGTTGGATGCCTAACGGACTCAGCCACCCAGGCATCCCTAGTTTTTATTTTCATCAAAGTTCTACGTGCATGTATTTTAAAGAGTCACACACTACACAGTGCAGTCTCCCCTATTCCCCTCCCTCCCAGAAGAGCCGCCTTCGACCTCATGGTGGGGAGGAGAGAAGGTCAGGGGAGTACGAATTGGCAGTGAATATCCCAAAGAGAAAGAACATGTGAAACTTGTATGGGGAAACGTGCTGGAGAGTGAAGGAGTGAAGTGTGAGTAATCGTTAAGATCGGCAGGCAATCTCGGAGGCTCAGTCTGTGTGTAATATCAGAGTAAGTAAAACAGTGTCCTTGTATGCAAATAGGCAATGATGAGGTGGACATGGAGACCCACAATGTTAGAACAGAAGAAGACCAAGATCCCAGGACCGACATATCCTATGGGGAGACAGAGGATATGAAACCAGAGAGAAGCCAAGATTCGACCATTCACACAGCCCATCAGTTCCTTGTGGACACAGTTTTCCAGGTGCTAAAATTTTCACAAATTATTGCTATGATAAGTTAACAAAATGTAATTATAAACTGGTTTAAAATTTTTATCTTTAGAACTTCATGGAATATCTGGTTGTTTGGGGGCATCTCATCCTTATCAAAGTGTTTAGGAAACCAGTTGGTATGACCACTTCTCTAAACAGATGACACCGTTCCAGCAGTTGGTCCCAGGGTCAGAGTGGGTGGTCTGCCCCAACCTGGCTGTGATGGTGTGTCTGGTTCTCCAGCCTCAGGCTCGCAGATCTAGATCTGCTCTTCCCATGTTCAGCATCCTTATTTGAGGAGCTGTAGGTAACAATTCAGTTCATGCTGACGAAGTAGCAAGAATATTTGGCTTAATGCCTGCATTTAGGAAAAGCAGATTTAACGGAGTTGTTTTCCCGAATCGTTTGACTTAATAGCAGTCTAGATTATTCAGAGAACATTTTGATATTGATAATTTTGTGGAGTTTTTGTTTTTATTTTGCTGGATAGATTTCTTCTAAATGGTAAAACTTCCTTTATCTTGTCTCTACACAAAGGGAAATAGAAGAATAGTTGTCTGGCATCTTATTGTGCCATCAAATTTGCTTACGCTTTGTGTCTCAGGGGCATGTATTTGTAGTTCATACTACTGGGAAGAAGGCAGCCAGTGATATAATGAGTTGGTGATTTCAATCTAGGCTGCCTCTTATCTGTGGCTTTTTCTTCTTAGCCCTTTTTAAAAGATGTCAGTGAGCTAAGACAGGAGCTGGAGAGGCAGCTGGAAACATGGCATCCACACGAATCTGGAAACCCAGAAGAAGTAAGTCACCAGTCTTTTCATAAGATATCTTGATTTTCTTTTTTTTTAAGTTACAGCAAGCTTAACAGGTTCTTAGCACCAATTACTTTTGTAAAAGGGACTGAGTATATGAAGACTGTAATTACAGTCTGAAGCCTAAGTCTTTCCAGTGCTTTCTGCCTACTTTGCCACTAGACATGTAGTTTAATTAAACCACAGAAAAGCTGATGTGTTTATTTCCTTTAATTTCTCTTGCTAGCTCTATGAGTTATAACAGATATGACATTGGTTGTGAAATGAGGCAAAATGTGTCATCCTCACAGTAGGCCACCTGGAATATTGCTGGCTGACTTAATGTGGCAGCATAGCTTAAAGAGAAGCTTCATTTTTAATGAGCTTGCATCCTGAATTTACTGTATTATCCATGTTTGTATTTTGTGCCTATAATCATCATTCCTACTACACACCTGTATGAGGGCTCTGTCATACTTGGAGCTTTGTGTCTGGGAAAGAAGCACACTGTTGAGATTGGCACTCATCGTTTTTGCTTTTGAAACTTGACCCTGAGAGCCTACGATTAAGTGGCTGGATCTACTGGCACCAAAAGTACCCACTCATAGCTCCCCACCCATACACAATGTGCAGTTTATCCTCTTTGTAGGTGATGAGAATTAGTTGTTGATTTGGTCATGCAATCCAATATTTTCTGCCTTGTTGTTTCACCCTTTCTCATTCGGAACTGTGAGTTGTGGTTTTGGTAGAAGATGAGACATTTTTAGGATGTGGACTAGATGGCAGCCTGCTGAGTTGGCTTCTGTTGACAGAGTTCACACGGGTCATTTTCTGCTACTCTGTTTCAAGTGTCTTCTTGCTGTAAATGACTTGGCTGGCTCTGACGTTGTAAGAGTCACTTCTATGTCGTTGTCACAGGAGAAGGCTGCAGTGGAGATGTGGCAGAGTTACCTGGCCGTAACTGCACCTCTTTCACAACAGTTGTGTGAACAGCTTCGTCTCATCTTAGAGCCTACCCAGGCCGCCAAGCTGAAGTAAGTCTTCTCCACTAAGCACTCCCCCTGTGCCCTGAAAAGATGGCCGTGTCACCTTTTCTATTGAGCTCAGCCCCTAACCACTTAAAAGTGCTGGCTTCTAGGTTGCCATTTATGCTGCGTGGATATGTTATTCCATACCTTTCTTCATGTTCTCTCTAAAAACTGAAGTGTTTGCGAAGTTTGGTACGAGTGCAGTTCCTTTGATTCATTAGCCTCTGATGAGAAAACTGGTTGGTGGAGCCTTTGGGTGGGTGTATGGGCTTGCTGCATGTGTTACTCACCTAGATCTTCGCAAAGGTTTATCCAAACTCATAGTTTCAGATTAGAAAAGAGTCAAAGACTTAATCAGTGCAAACGTTCTTTTTCTAATTTTTTAAAACTTGTTGCAGCTTTCGTGGAAGGGCCTGATTATTGACACATATATAACCAGTTTTTCTGGCTGCCCTCCTTTCTCAGTTGATGATGACATTTGAGTGTGTCAGGTTACTGGTTAAAAGGTATTATAATGTGATCTTATTCTTTAAAAAAATTTTTGGAGGATGAACAATTGTTAACTAATCTTTGCCCCATTTGGGTAAATTTAATAGAGGAGACTATCGAACTGGGAAGCGGCTGAACATGCGGAAGGTCATTCCATACATTGCTAGTCAATTTCGGAAAGACAAGATTTGGCTTCGAAGGACCAAGCCCAGTAAACGCCAGTATCAGATTTGTTTGGCCATTGATGACTCTTCTAGCATGGTAGACAACCATACCAAACAGGTAAGGAAACACAGGTGCTAATTTAATGAGAAATTAATGCCAAGCCATGCTCTATGGCCACCTAAAAGTTTTAAATATGGGGCGCCTGGGTGGCGCAGTCGGTTAAGCGTCCGACTTCAGCCAGGTCACGATCTCGCGGTCCGTGAGTTCGAGCCCCGCGTCAGGCTCTGGGCTGATGGCTCAGAGCCTGGAGCCTGTTTCCGATTCTGTGTCTCCCTCTCTCTCTGCCCCTCCCCCGTTCATGCTCTGTCTCTCTCTGTCCCAAAAATAAATAAACGTTGGAAAAAAAAA